CACTTATGAGGCCCCCGCTCACCTGGGTTGTACCCATCCCCAATTACCATTACCATTACCATTACATTCATTGATCTGAAGCTTTTGTCTGACCTCTGCCTCTGCCTCTGCTCCTGCTTCCTGTCAGATGACCGCTTCATCCTGAAACAAATGCCCAGGCTGGAGGTCCAGTCCTTCTTGGACTTCGCTCCAAACTACTTCACCTACATTATCGGAGCCGTGCAACAGAAGGTAGGCTTCCTGACCAGAAGCTTGTTGTCTTGAGTCTCACCGTTCATGTTTTAACCTCCATGTTTGTTTCACAGAGGCCTACTGCACTTGCCAAGATCCTGGGAGTTTACAGGATCGGATACAAGAACTCCCAGAATAATACAGAGAAGAAACTGGACCTGCTTGTCATGGAGAACCTCTTCTATGGGCGAAAGATGGCTCAGGTGTGTTTGTCTACAGATCTAATGGAGTGTTTCTTGTCAGTTTTTGCTTCTGTTGATGTTGAATGATTTTCCTGCAGGTGTTTGATCTGAAAGGCTCGCTGAGGAATCGGAATGTTAAGACGGACTCGGGTAAGGAAAGCTGCGAGGTGGTTCTTCTGGACGAGAACCTGCTGAAGTTGATCCACGACAACCCACTCTACATCCGCTCCCACTGCAAGGCCATTCTGCGTGCCGCCATTCACAGTGATGCCTACTTCCTGTCCAGTCACCTCATCATTGACTACTCACTGTTGGTGGGGCGGGATGATGCTACGGACCAGCTGGTGGTTGGGATCATAGGTGAGGATGAAGATGAAGGTCTGTCAGTGATCTGTTAGGTTAGTGCTGATCTGTTTTTCTCTTCTCCTTCTTGCAGATTATATCCGGACATTTACATGGGACAAGAAACTGGAGATGGTTGTTAAATCCACTGGAATCCTGGGAGGTCAAGGTAATTGTAGCCAAAGTTTCAGGATCAGTTTTCAGAATGGAACTGACTGGAATAATCACTGGATGTTTCCCAATGTCACATTTATTTTAAAGCATTTCTAATTTGGATATATAT